GTATGAACGTATGTATGTTTAGGTAGGTAGGTAGGTAGGTAGGTAGGTAGGTAGGTAGGTAGGTAGGGAGGTAGGGAGGTAGGGAGGTAGGGAGGTAGGGAGGTAGGGAGGTAGGGAGGTAGGGAGGTAGGGAGGGAGGGAGGCAGGGAGGTAGGGAGGTAGGGGTAGGTAGGTAGGTATGTGTGTATGTTCTTATGTATGTTCTGCAAGGTTTCATGTATGAATGTATGGTACGTTATTTTGCATGCATACCTGAGCATGTTCATGGTTAGCTAAGTCCTTGTTCCAACTTCCAGTGTGTTGCTGCTCGTAACCGTACGGCCCATGCCTTAAAAAGAAACGAAGAGCAATGCGCGTAGTGTGCGTTTCTTATAATATACAGGTAAAGTAGAGTACAAAAACCTCTTTGTTGGGGTTTCAAATGCTCCCTTGCTATCGTGTACATGCAATCACATCTTCACCGTTCCATATCACACAACCTCAAAAGAGCAACCCTAAACCTAAACCCTGAAGTCTGGCATAACGCCTTTCTTGTGCCAGGCCTCGGCTGTTTCCCTTCCTGTCTCCTGGATACAAGAAGAGGCGCTTCTATGAGAGTGGGGGGTTCTGGGTCGGTGTTATTGAGGGGTGAGGGAAGCGGGGCATAGCTTTGAGTTGAGGAAGGGTCGAGGTTTTGGAAAGGTGAGCGGATAGGCCTTCGCATTGAGGCTGCGACTAAGACCTGCCAAGAGTTCATGGTACGACGACCAAGGAATCTCCGATTGGAGATAGTGCTTTCTTGCACGGTTTAGGGTTTAGGGTTTAGGGTTTAGAACTTGGCCGGGCGAGGTCCAATCAAGCCTGTGTAAAACCAGCAGCGAGGCGTCAGACTCAATCACGCCGTCCTCAGTCCCATGCTAATTCCCACAAGTGATCTAGGCTTCCAGAAACAAGACTGCCCTTGGGTGATAAAGCCCAAACCAAAGCGTCAATTCTAAAAGCCCGAAACTTGGGCAACCAAGAAGTCTGTCTTAATGCCCTACACACTTCCCCAACCCAGCACCTAAAACTTTCCAAACCCTCAGCCCCAAACTAATATAGAATATTCTTAGGGCTCCTTATGACAATGAGTAAATATACCGCGAAATTCTGTTCTAAGTGCAAGGTCCTATAGTATTCTCAACCCTATATTATTCTCCACCCTAGACCACAGGAGGCATCGAAGTGGCAGGCTGCGCCTGGTCTTTTCGTTCTTTGAGAAGTTCCCGTAAGGTTCAGGCTCTTGGAAATTTCTACGTAATTCTAGGAACTTTCCGTAGTGCCTATAGTGTTATGTAGTAGCAGTCTTTGAGCTAAACCTGGCATTTAGGCTTGCAGTGTGTGAACACGGATTAGGGGTTTCAGGATTGGGCTGTGGGGTTGGTTTGTACCTTACAGGGTGAAGGAGTCGTGGAAATGAATTCGGGTTCAAGGATGCTGAAGTGACAGTGGGAACTAGAACCCGCAGGATTGAACTCGCCCTGGTCCCCACACATTCAGAGCTTATCAGCCGAATCCTGGATCTTTTCGTGCAGAGTGCCAGGGTCCAAGGCGATTTCCTTACATGGGCACGTAGGCGATTGGAAATGTCTTCTACGGAAGGAGTCAAACTCAAAAGTCTCTTCTCACGAGAACACAATCTGTCAGCAAAAGCAGCTTCTTAACAGACTCCCCGGGCAAATTGTCATTCACTGTTGCTTTTTATCCGAGCCCAAAGCAGGGATCTACGTCTCTTGGCTTCTTGAGATGCCTCTTCTTCGAAGGGCGCACTCGAAATAGCCTTAATCGGACTACGCACCAATTACCTCGCCTGCCGTGTCCGAAGGTGAGCGCCGAAACCCCTTTTAAACCCCTAAGCCCCTAAACCATCCTAAACCCCTAAACCCCAAACCCCTAAACCCTAAGTTATAAGCCCTTAAACCCCTAAACCCCTAAACCCTTAATCCCAAATCCTTAAGGAGCTCAATGGTGTCTTTGATCAGACCGCCACTTGGTGATGCAGAGCTTGCAGGGTGAAGGCTTGGTCCGTCCGGGCCACTGGAATCGCACATATAATGAACTGTCATATACAGTATACGATAATATATCATATAATACAATATAATATAATGCAATATAATGCAGTGTAATATAAAATAATATAATAGAATAGATTATAATGTGATATAATAAGCTGTCGTATACTACAATATACTAGAACATGCTATGAACTCAGTCGGCGGTCTGGCTCGCAGATACCAAGTCATGGCAGCTTCGGTACTGCAAGGCATCAGGTTGCGGAACTCTTGAGGCGGAGATGTCCGGAGTCATAGTCATGCTTGCTGTGGCCGACTTCTGTGTTCCGGCACTACGACGTCAAGATTTAACCAGAACCCCACACGCCGCCAACTGAAACAGCTGACCCTTTCTACCTCTCAGATTTCAGGAGCACCTCTGCCGCAAAGAGGACTTAGATGCAGCGATCTTGAAGGCTCTGGCTCAGCAGAAGAGTCCTGTCATTCTTTGTGCCCTGGCCCGGATTCAGACTTCGATTCTTTGAAGTTAGATAAGGTCCGGTAGATAATTGAAAATTTTTCTGTTGTATCAAGATTTTTGACCGGGACAAAGCGCTGAGTTTTGCTCTACTTGCCAGAGGGCTTATCGTCTACTTCGTAGCTTGAAAGCTCAGGGGGTCTGGGTTCGGTCATGTCAAAGCCCTCGAGAATCTCTAGAAAGCAAGGAGAAAATCTCGAAGCATCAAAAGCCTGCATAGAAGTATCTGTATAATCCGTAAATGCCTTCTCCACAGGCGACCCATTCCTCCCAGAATGCCCCGTGATTGGCGTCAACGCAGCTGCTCAAGCGATGACAGGATGGGGGCATGTCGGCAACGAGGTTGCAGTTTCAATTTGAGCACACCGAGTAAGTTTCGGTTGAGAAACCCTAAACCCTAAACCCGGAAGAATTTTGGAGAAGGCAGTGAGGGCCCGGAACACTAGCTCAGGAGGAATGTGGTCTTGGATGCTGCAAGGCTCCCTGCCATGTGTAAGCGGGGCCTAGAAACACTTACACATCCCCATTATCTGTCCGGCGGTCAATGAGTAGATCCCTAGATGCATGACAATTCAAAACGCATCCCTGGTGACTGGCGTCTTTCAGTGTTGCCCACTTTGGAAGGCTGCATCGAAGGCTCGGTTAATCCTCAACTCGCCAGCTCCCCGGAGTCTGCTGTCCCTGAAGTGAAAAGCGGGTTCACGGTTTCATCGTTGTCAATATTACAATATTTTCTGATCATCATGATGACGACACTGTCCATGACGATGACGGCTTTTACGTCTCGTTCTGAGTCTTAATGGCACATCGTGTTCGACGCGTTTCTGCCTCTTGAAGCCAAGGGCGCCAAGAAGTGGCATCCGCCGACGTGCTTGCCTGCATTTGGCTGTTGTCTTCGAAGAGGGGCTTGTTTCCTCGACCCTGCACCCCAAAGCCATCTAAACCCAACAGTCTATTGGAACTGTACCTTACAGGCAAAACAGCCTTCTAAAGCCCAAGGCATCCTTGATGTACCCAGGTGCGCCTCCTTGCTGGGGCCAAGCCATCGGAACGAGGAACCGAGCCCGAAGTATGCTTGAGGCTTTGGGATTTAAGGTTAGGGGTTCAGGGTATGCTCAGACCTTCAGGCGATTGCACAAGTCCTGATGCGAAAAAGGGCAAAGCACATCCACGAAGAGTGTACGAACAACAGCGAATGAGTATCATAAATCAGTCGCTGAAACCGCCTCTTTTGACTGTCTTGCTACTTTTGTCTATCCTGAGCTGCGTTTCTCCGGGCATTCCCAATGCAAAAGTTTTAAGCTCCTGCACCCTGCGAGAAAGTTGGACGGAAAGGATGACGTGTCCTGCCAGTAGGGTTTGGTTTGGGGTTAAGCGTTTTCGTGACCACGCCACTGGATCGCTGCTTTGTTGTTGGCGCAAGGAGCGTGGAATAGTTATGGATTCAACCTCGCCACCTGTTGTTCTCTTGCCGTCCACCTCCTCCTGCGGCAGGAGGCTATCACCTTACGTACGGTCGATACGCTGAAGGCCCGGTAACAGGTCTTTGCAATGAGTCTGTGAGCCTGTATGCCTTAGCACTAGCTTTAGTAAGCCCAGCAGGTGAGGAAGAAGAGCTGCAGCGGCTGGCAGTCCGCGCTGCTTGTGCATTTCGGCCAATCGCAAGAGGGAAGGCTTTTTAGGGAGGTTCAGGTTTGGGGTTTAGGGGGCAGCCAGGTATGTAGAAGGTGAACTTCGGAGTTGCTGCCGTATGGTCGGACGTGTTTTCAATGCAATTCTATCGGTTGGTGTCCGAGTAGATAATGTGAGTTTTGAGCTGCTCGTGACTGTTCGTGCGTACTCGGTTGGGTTTGCTTTGAACCCCGTGTTTTCGTTGATTGTGTGTACGTGGGCGTGGCGATTGGGTTTGTGCACTCTGCTTTCAGGCACGAGCCTCTCTCATCGCTGCCATGTTTGGTTGACGAAGCAAAACCGGGTGGGATTGGCATCAAAACTTCAAAACTCATGCTGAAAGTCGTCCGGCTAGTCCAGCGCTTTCGCATTACAGGCGTTCGGGGTTCGGAACAGAAGTGCCCATCGCGGACACCACGAAGCTTTCTAGGAGCCTGCCGTGAGTGCAGTCAGGCCAATGGTCGCCCTTGCTCCGTCAAGTTCCGGAAAATGTTTGAGCTGCCAGGCCAGCACGGGGCTTGGGATTTGGAGCGATCGGTTGTGCAACTGAAACTGCAGGCTAGAGCCCACGTTTTGTGCGGCTGTTGCTTGAAATCCATGGGCAGACGGATCGACTCGGATTAGGCTTCGCAGCATGCCTGTCCCTTACTACGGTAACTGCAGTATCTGAATTCGGTCTCATTGCTTTCCTCCCAAGACCACCAATTGTCCGAAACCTGAAATCCGGCTGTGCCGAGCTGTGAGACCCGAAACCAGACTCTAAACCGGCGGGCGTGGGACCATGGCATCTGCTGAGAGACCCGAAGTTCAGGCGACCGACCGCTGTCGCTTTGGCTTCAGGGAGCCTTGGTCTTCGTGCTTTTAAATGGCTCAGGGTTTCTGTGGGCTGTAGGGTTTGATGGTCCAGGCTTCAAGGTTTAGGCCTTTGTTTTTAAGGGGGGATTTGGGGACAATGTGGCCGGGCGAGCACTTAGCAAGCCTATGTAAAAAGAGGGGGTCTTGGGGTTTTAGGCCTTGGGGGCCCCTAAACCCTAAACCGTCTGCAACCCTAGACCCTAAACCCTAAACCCTCGTAAACCCTAAAGCCCTAAACCCTCATAACCCCTAAACCCCTAAACCCTAGACCTCGCCTGGCAAGAGCGTAAACCCTAGACCCTATAGACCCTAAGGCCCTAACCAAACCCGGGCTTTTGGGGACTTGGGGCCTCGAAGGGCCGGACATCTAAGGAAAACCCCGGGGTCCCTGCCACATCTTGGGCAAAGCCAAAAAGTGGACCCTTTCAAACCCTAAACCCTAAGTTTGGGGGTTCAGAATTTAGGGCTAGGGTTTAGGGTTTAGAAAAAACCCTAAGTTTTTTTTGGGGTTTAGGACCCTTCTGACAGACTGAGATGGATAAGTGCTTCGTGGAGCTAAGCTTGAGGCGTGACCGTGGCCTACGGCGTGAACAAGGGTCCCCTTGGTGCCATGGCGGCCAGTTCTTCGCTTGTTCGACTCCTTGGGTCTTTGTGGGGGCTGTAGGGTTTAGGGTTTCGGGCGAGCGAAGCCTGCCGCAAAAGGGTTTAGGGTAGGGTTTAGGGTTTAGGGTCTCAGGAAGTCTTTGTGCTTTTTTTTTTGTTTTTGTTTTGCGACTTTGGGCCTGAAGCTTGCTAGTTCGCAGTTCCTTCGAGGTCTTCGGGAGCCTGCTCTTTTCTTTCCACCCCTTAGGCGACCCTGTATACACGGCCCTAAACCCTAAACCCTACAAACCCTAAACCCTAAACCCCAGCACTCTTTGGATAAAAAATGTGGCGCTGCGAACTGCGAGTTGGGAGCCCTTAAGCCCGGCTGCTCCTGAAGACCACACCCTGCCTGGGACCTTCAGGGTTTAGGTTTATAGGGCTTTAGGGCCGTCCCGGAAGGCCCGTGCAGGGGCTGAGACATGTCAGCTGTCAAAAAGCGCTGAGCTCGGGGCCGCCGGGCCCGAAACTCAGCCGAGGTGGCGGAGCGCATATTTGGTATTTAGCCCTCCGGCCGCAGACGTAGCTTGAGTTCTTCCTTGGCAGGAGAGGGCTTGGGAGGTTTGTTCAGCTTTTGAGCATTCGGGGGACCGGCATGCATCCCGCAACTTTACTTTGAAGCCCCTTAAACCCGGAAGCTCGGGGGTTGTGAAGCCATGCCTGCCTTGGGTCAACACCCGGACTAAGACCCTGCACCCCGAAGACTCACCAAAATGCCAGATGTGAAAGTGCTCAAGGTGGGCATCCTGAGTGACGCACCCGTGGATGCTTGGGAGAAGGAGGCGAGCAGCTTCTGTTGGGCTTTTCCGATGTGCTCTTTTCATGCAGCTGGGTTTCTTCAGTGTGGACCGGGTTCTTGAGACTCCGCAAAGGCGGCGAATCCCATCTTTTCCTGCCTCGGAGTCTGAGGTGCTGACGGTCATATGGTTATAGTGGTGACCATTCTTGAACCGCGTTTTCAAATTGCACGTATCCCGGGTGCATGCTCCGGGGCGAGGCCAGATGACACGAACGACGTGCACCCTAAACCCTAAACAGACAATTTTTGGGTAGGGTTTAGGGTGTAGGGTTTATGGGTAGGGTTCCCGTGGCACAGGCTCCGTCCTCGGTGGCGATGGCCTCCCTGAAGCAAGCGCTTCAGGAGGTTCTTGTGTCTCGTCCTGGCAGACATTCAGCGCTACGGAAGTTGGGGCTTTTGAGACGGTCGCTCTTTCGAGACCGTGAAGCAACAATGAGTATACAATACAATACTCTCTCTCTCTCTCTATATATATATATATATATATATTTATACACATACACACACACTAAATCTATTCCAAACATCTCTTATCTATATATTAATATATATATATACACATACGTTATTGGAATTACTGTTGACTCTTTGTTCTGTTCTCTCTCTCTCTCTCATATATATATATATACACTCGTGTATACATATATATATATATATGCATATACATATGTATACATACATACATACATGCACATGTGTGTATACATCTCTACACACTATACGTACATACTGGTAACACAACAGGTTTCGGAAGTCCTGCTGGGGCTGAGTCATCGCAGAGAGCCTTGTTGATGCTACGAGTCCTCAACCTCACCATATATATATATATATTATATATATATACACATATTTATATATGACTAACTTCTCGCTCGAGGCAAGGGGCCATAGGATTCATGTTGGTATGAGCCGAAACCCGAACACCCCAATTCTTACTACAGCAAAACATCTCGATACACGGCTGGACTCGCTCGGTCTCAAGCTAGCATCCCACGAGCCCCGACCCCAAACCCGGAACCCTAAACCCTGAACCCTACACGGGCCCGTCCAAGCTGTGTAGGAGGGAAATAAGCCCTACACGATTGCTGGCTATGAGGAGGCCCATGACGCGCTGCCCAAGCCAGGAGACAGCCAGGAGGTGGCGCTGTCGTGGGCTTGGGGCTTCAAGTTTAGGGTTCCATGGTGGTCTGGTGTGTGACTGCCGTTTGTGTGTGAGTGTGTTTGTGGGTCAACAAGACAGGTTGCAAAGACACTGCTTTACGTTGAACGCTTTAGCCTTACGGTAGAAGCCCAGAAGGTTGGAACGTCATCATCCTCATGCCCTGAAGGTAGAGCAGAGGGAAGGAAGCCCAGCAATAATCATCCTAAATCGATGTTCTACAATTTTCTGGGGTTCACTATATACTAAACTCAGTAAAAATTGAAACTACTGCCAAAAAAAACGCAAGCTTCGAGGATCCGCAACACGCTTGCCCCTACAGGGGCTCCAACGACCTCTAGCGGCACTCAAAGCTTCTGGCCTCATCCCTGAAAGGAACCCGTTGGAGCCTTTAAGCTGCTTTAATAAATAATAACAATAAATATCAGAATAAGAAGAATAATACTAAGAAATAATAATCATCATAATAATAGTAACAATAATACTAATAACAATACTAAGAATATTAAAGAACCTTATTCCATTTTGTTAAGGCCGCTATACTCGGGTTACTAAATCTGACTGTTCCAGGCCCACTTGTAAGGAACGCTGCAGTGTGGCACCGTCAGCTAGCTAAGCCGGTGACCCGGTGGCGAACCAAAAACTCCAAACCCTAAGTAAGCCCCAAGTCCTCACCCGCTGCAGCTCAGCCTGTCACTTGAACCTGGTACCTTTATTCCTCGCCTGGCATGGACGATTAAAGTGGCAACAAAGCCTGGACCTAATTTAGCAGAACCCTTCGGATTGGATGCTCGCTTTCGCACGCTTGAACCCTGAGCTTGCTGTGCTCTGAATCCAATTTAAAATCTCATGCTGTGCCCTCTGGGTCCTTGTGGGAGGCTGGGGAGAAAGACTGGCATCCCTATGGCGGCGATGTGGCTTGGCGGAACGTTCCGGATTCCAGCGCCATGCTGTGGTGGTGGTGGTGCTGTTGCTGCCGTTGCTGCTGTTGCTGCTGTTTTTGCTGTTGCGGTTGCTGTTACTGTTGTTGCTGTTGTTGCTGTCCTTGCTGTCCTTGCTGTCCTTGCTGTCCTTGCTGTCCTTGCTGTCGTTGCTGTCGTTGCTGTTGCTGTTGTGCCTGCTGCTGCTGTTGTTGTTGTTGTTGTCGTCGTCGTCGTCGTCGTTGTCGTTGTCGTTGTCGTTGTCGTCGTCGTCGTCGTTGTTGTTGTTGTTGGTCGTCGTCGTCGCCGCCGTCGCCGTCATGTTTATGCGTAGCTTCCGCATTTATGGACGCGATCATTAGCAACATCATTGTCACCATCACCATCATCAGCGGCATCATTACTGCTATCATCATCACCATCAACAACAACACGATGGATTGCAATTGTCACCATCGCAACCGCGACCGCCGGCAACGTTGTCCTCCTGCTACTGTGCGTCATGTCATGTCATATCTTGTCACGTTCTCAGTGGTTCTTGAACAGGCACTTCGGATGGGTTCTTGCAAGTCGAAGCCCGACGTGAGAGTAGAGCACCCCCGAAACTCGCAAAGCTCCGAGGTTGAGACTGCAGCCCCTGCTCAAAAAGAGCAAACATAAGGTTGAGGGTTGAGGGTGAATCCAAAGCTGCGAGGTGCGTCTTCTGAGCAAGCTGGTGTGGCACTGCCAGCCTTGACTGGCACAGACGGCACCCACGGGATTGTGCAGACCTCGTACGCCACTGATGACATCATCTGAGGCTCGAACGTGACTTTTAATCTGCAATGCCGTGCAGCCGTTCACAGTGCTGAACGACGTGAGATTTTAATTATCAGTCCTGGTTCAGGACGGGTGGATTTTTGAAACAGGCTCGAGATGCTTTCGGTGCTTGCTTGCCATCTTGGAATAAGGCTAAGAACCTTCGTGTGTCATAGCCATAGCTCTCTTCAAAAGCTGACAGCACGTACGTGCAGAGAAAGACAGTAGGGAAGAAAGGGCTGTGCTTTTCGATTTGGGGTTTGGAGATATCACTGATCTTTGGACTTGTGCTTTATGGAGTCTAAAGTTTCCCCAAGACGTACGGCTCGAACCGACCTACAACTGGGTTCGAGAGGCTACAGGGTCAGTAGTCTTTAACGGTCAGACGGGCCATCTCGTTCTGGTTGTTGTGCACTCTTGCGGCGTCTTCTTCCTGTCAAGATCTGCATCTGTAACTTCAGCCTGACCTGTAATCGAGAATAGAAGCGATTGGCACCCGCCTTCCTCCATGCAACGAGACATCTCTAAGCCCCTGCAGCAGATCTTGATGGCTTTTCAACGAGAGGCTCTTGACCCTGGGTCGCCGTGGCGTATCATTCAGGGATTGTGTTTGCTGACGAACTACCGGCAGGCCATGCGGAATTTCCTTGAAGGCGATTCTGCTTCTAGTCGGTTCTGTGGGTTCACCTAAGAAGCATAAGCTTTTGTGGCTGCCAGCATCACTTCCTACCAGCCTCATCTGCCACGAAGACCCATGTGAAAGATCCGCGTGAGTATCAAGCAGGCCGAAGCGTGACCACAAGTGTCGCAACAAGTGCATTTTTTACAGTGCAGCCGCGCCGCGCAGCCTTTCTAAATGTTCTACTCCCCGACATCATCGTATGGATGTAGCGAGGCGAACAGCTTGCCGCAAAAGCTTCCCTTTGATGCGACTGGTGGTTTGCTGTGTCTTCAGACATCTTCAGAGTGTCGTGTAGCAATCTCTTGTTAAGGGCAGGATTAAGTCAAGTTTAATGCGTTGTCTAGTGAAGTTCGTGACCTGCCCCCTTGGGATGCAATCGGTACCAAAAGCCTCATGGAGTTCGAGAGTGCTTTGTTGTCGATGCTGTTGGCCGCGATTGGCGTCTCTGCTATGAGCAGAATACTAGTAGCAATACCAAGAGCTCAGACACTGCCTGATTCTGTGATCCAGCATGCCCATCGTGGTGGTTGCTCTCGTTCTCGCTGAATACAAAGCACACAGTCCAGGTCCCAAGTTTGCGGCCGCTCCGATACAGGAGACCAGGTTAGCCAAGTTTGATAATTAAGCCTCCTAGAACATCGAATTCCTGCTGAGCAGCCCTCCTCTGCACTAGTTCCTAGTTTAATGAAGCAGTTCTCAGCTGATTGTGCTGCGGTTTTCATTAATTAGCAGCTTGTTGACCCAGCAAGATGGGCAGCAGCCACTGCTAAACAGAACACTCGATTGCCACTCAGTGGTAAAGTCCTGAACCCTGCCGACCCAGCATCGATTTCTCAGCGTTCACTCATGCGACAGCTATGTTCTGCTCGGCTTGCGCTGCGGCGAGTGACGCGGAGTTTTACTGCCTCGTCGCCAGGATGTGGTGCGGGAGGGGACAGGCATGGAGATTTTGCTTTCATTTTACCGTTACAGAGAGGACTGAAGATGAAATGTCCGACGAGGCTGGCAGGTCGGATTGAGTAACCTTGAAGGGTGACTTCATGCGGATTCTATGGGGGCAAGCTATCCCGACCCAGTTGCTGTAAATCACGCTAAATTGACGTTGGTGGTCGTAACGAATAACTCGCAGCTCATGTTGTTGTTGGCAAACCTTGGGGGAACTTGATCCTGCAATAGCCGACATGTTATACAGGTTGCTGTAAACTTGTTGTACACTTGAGGCATTACATGGGAGGTGCTACAGACACAGCGGGCAGCCACCAAACCATGAGACGCATGCAGCCTGCGCAGATGAGCGGCTAAGATTAAGTTCATGAAGACACTGCCAGAAGTCATTCCTAGACTTTACCTCGAGCTTCGGCTGTCCACAGCAGCTGCCAACCAACGCTCGACCTTCTCCGCTTAGCCCGTAGGCACAAGCAGTCCATGTCGGCAGCTAAAAATACTGGAAAGCTGAATGCCTGCTGCGATCCACAGGACTGTCACAGACTGTCGAGCATCTGCGGCATCCGCTGAACACCGGCGAGGCGGCGGCAGACCAAATTGGAACATGACAGCCCGTTGCTTGCATAGTCGGAGCTGCCACGACTGGAGCTGTAGCTCCGGTGATTTCAACTATGCTTCAGTGATCACGACCTTGCCAGACTCCGGTTGGCTGTAAAACCTGTTAACTTATAGTATCAAAAGGCAGTGGAGACTCTACAGTTTTACATGCGATCTGGGCAGAGGTAGCCCTGCTCTCCACTCCTGTGGCGCAAGGATGCGGCTGTCGTTTAAGTGGTCTTCACAATCCCTCAGCAGTGAGGTTCCCACGTGTTCTCTTCTTCAGGTGTTCTTGGTCGGCACCTCTCACATCTCCGAAGCATCAGCCAAGGAGGCTCGGCGGATATTCTTGTAGCAAGACAACCTAGGTCTGAATCGCATACATATGTACGTCTATACTTATCTAACACATAAAAATACTTACTATATGAAGGTGTATCTGCAGATCTAAAACTATTAGTTTTGCATGATACGATATCTTCTAGAGAGAGATATACTTATTTGTTTATATGTATAGAATACACAACGAAATGAATGCATTGCTGTTTTGCAGTTCCGAAGAGAGGCTGGGCAAGTTTCCAGATTCCCACACAGCTCCAAAAGCGCTCTTCTCACGTGCAACTATAGCGGCTGAATTGGGGTTCTTGAAATGGTTCCTCTAAAGGGTTGCTACCAACAAGAGTTTCATAAGGGTTAATATATAGGTGCCTTGATATTTGGCATCCGGTTGCGGGGTATTTTGTAATTGTAGGAACGTAAAGCAAGGATTACGAGGTAGGAACGGTGGCAACTATTTAGGCATCATGTTCTCGCAACCAAGAGAGCGACCGCCAAGAACGGATCCTAATCTGGGAAGGCAGCGTGGTGACTGAACAAGTCCAAGCAGCAGGGTGAGGCTTGATAGAAGCGCACACACACACACATTATATGTATACATATATATATATAAATCCTGCATCCGACTTGGACTCTGTGCCTTGAATGTTATATATATATATATACACATACATACATACATACATACATACATACATACATACATACATACATATGTGTATATATATATACATACATACATATACATATATGTAATACCAATGCATGGACGCACTTGGTGCCGGCAGGTGCACGACATCATCCATACTGTTCGGCCACGGCATGTGGTGGTCGAGCTTTGTGAAGCTCGTCGTCGTCGCCTGGAGGCGACGGCTGTGGTCCAGTTTACATCGCAGCTGTAAACTCAGCTTTCATGGTAGTCAGATTCACTGTAGGAGATTGGTAGCGTAGAGTTTCGTAGGAAGTCTGGCGGGCGTATACATCTTTGTTTGGTGACTAGAAATATCAACACCTTGGAACGTTGCCGTGCCCGGCCTTCCCGCGACGCATAAATACATAGTGAGGGCAACTTGAGCCGAGTACTAGACATAGCTTGACTTCGGCCGAGGTTTAAGCTTCAGTGGCACAAACGGTACCTTCTTTGTTTTGTGGGATCTTTCAAGCTTTCCTTCTTGCAGAAACCTTCGTTTGCTTGTGACCCGCGGCCTTGGGCATGGAGCAATCAGCCCGTCGAGAGGTCCTCCTGAGTTGGAAAGCATCCGTTGACCATGTCCCGTTCTCTGCACCACTTCTTGGCAGGGGCCATTGTCGCAGTCACAACCCAGCCACACCTCACTACTGCCGGCAAGCAAAGCACGAAAGCACTCCCAAAACAAAAAACAATTGAGTTTCTTGCTTCTCCACGCAAGGCAGATGTTGAGCAGTTGAAGTGTTCATGACTCATGATATGAAAGCCCTACAGCCCTAGAACCCACGAAGAACTTGAGAGTTTGAGCAGGCTTCTACCCACACCAGCAATGCACTCACCTGCAGTGTGCTTCCAGGCCTGGTGCTCACACACTCAGAAGTTGGATTAGATTTTAAACTCAGGCACCTAAACCCTGAAAACTTTGTTTGGGCTTCCGGATGAGCTCCCCGCCTCTTCGAAAGAACTCTGACACTTGGAGGGTTTGATGTGTCTTAGGGGTTTTGGGTTTTTAGAAATTTGGACGGCTTGCGCTTTGGCTTGGGCTTAGGGGGTTGCTTGCGACCAGAATCTGAAAGGCTTGTCCATTCACTGTCCCAGTTTGTTCAGATCCTCAGCTAATAGATAGGACTCGTATTTTGGGGTTTATTTGTCAGCAACTGGTGGCCCACAAGAGCCCCCAGAGCGAATACTGAAATCACTACCATGATCAAGGACCCATGACTGCTATTGCCCAGTCCAGCGATGTCCAGGAACACTGCAGTAGCTGCTATGACAGCTATGAGTAACCAAACTTGAACGGATACAGACGCTGCAGAAGGGAAACGCATCCGTACGAGAGGGGCAGACGAAGGGGACCTTATTATATTATGTTATATCATATTATAGTATAGTATAGTATAGTATAGTTGTCTCAAGCAGGTGCCGGGCAACTGCCCAAGAACTTCGCGCAGATCGTGGAGACTTAGCTTTGCCTCCAGTTCTACCCTATCCCCTGAACCCTAGACCCTAAACTCTGTGAGTTCGAGTTGCGAGAGCGTAAACCCCAGGTCGGATGAGTTTGGGGCACCGCATCCATCAGTGTCCTGTCGTTTTGGTACACGGGTAGTTCTATAAGGTTAGGGGCCCGTTTAGGTTCCTTTTTATATGAGGGTGCCGTACTATCCTTGGGGCCAGAAAAGGGACCCTTACT